GGAGATTGTCTTGACCATGTCTACATGCCTAAATGCACTGAGTTGCCGCCATGTGATTGGCTGCTTAGAAATTAAGTGTTAACTAGCAGTTGGACTATAAATAATAATAAAGTGGCCAGTGAGTGTATACTAGTATTCTTTTATTGGCCAGTTCTATATATTATTTTATATAACTCTAATTTCCCTTGGCGTTACTAATGAATAACTGCTCTACTTCCCAACTCAACCCTTTTATCTGCATTAAATCTCTTCTAGATGTTCTCTGTTTTAGTTTCTTCACTTCTTCTTGTTTAAATTATTAAGGCGACAGTTTTTGGACTGAAACTGTTTCACTGCCGTCTTTCCAGAAGTGGCTGCATGACTCTACTCGCTATGGAGGGGAGGGAAGTTTCTGTGGTAGCAGCAGCCATCTTTGTGGGAAACAGTAGCTTATCTTCAGGTGGGAGGCAGGCCAGCTCTGCTTCAGGGAGATCAGAATATATTTTGGACCTCAGGAACCATTTCACTATTAAAACCACCTTGTAAACCCCCATCTAGCCAGTTGGGTGAGGTTGGCATAATCTCCCTTTAATGGCTGAAATGCTAAAGCTGACTGAGGACAGTGGGCTGTTCAGCCATATAGAACCGGATCATCATCAGCAGTAATTTTAGAGAATGGCTTTACTGTGTTTTAACCTCTTTAGCGAGTCTGCGGGCTTCATAGTAGGGCCTTGCTTTGTCTATGCAGGCGCCGAGCTGAGAGGCCTGAGCGTTGAGCTTCCTGGCTGAGTCAGTCAGAACTTTCCGGTAGCTGGATCGGGCATCCTGAGGGGAAACACAATAAAACTGGTGAGCCGAGCTGTGGCAGCGCAGATCTATGACAGAAGGAACCAAAGACCTCCATGTTCTCTGGTTTCAGTTGTTTTTGTTTGCTTTTTCTCTCAGTTAAAAAAAATTAAATCTGTGGATTAAATCATTCAGATATTAAAACCAGATTTTTCTGAAACTGCAGGAAAATGACCAGAAAAGTTTTTCATTAACATGTAGAAAAGAATAATGCAATGTAAAGATGAAGAGAAGTATTTTCAACAGTTGCTTTGCAGCATAAGGGAACAGATTTTAAGCTCCACTCAAATATAGAGGGGATAAAAAAAAAAACAGATCCATATTTCACAGTTAAACCCTCAGTTATTTATCCAGAAAAATTTGGACCGTCATTAATTAGATCAACATTTTCTGTTGTTCTTTTTAGGCTGCTTCTAAAGAGAGAGCTTAGATCAGAGGCGTAGCCGGAACATTTTAATAAGGGTGGCCAGGCAATAAGCAGTCTACACCGAGAGACGCGGATAGACATCAGAACCTCAGGGTCAGTCTACACTGTTCCAACAGGAAAATTAACGAGCAAAACATCCATATTTTCTAAATAAAGACAAACTATACTTTCCTACAGTCTTTGCTAACAAACAGAAGCATATTTTAAACATCCATGCCGTCTAAATTAAAGGTGCAGTGGACAAAATAGTTTCAAGTTTGAGTTCTGAGGCAAACATCTTATCCCCTGTCATTACTTACCTACTTTTACCAAAAATACGTTCTGAATAAATTTATATTTACAGTAGGGGGCAGTGCATATAGTACATAGGCCTTCAGTGGGCACCCCTAAAATTAGTCTACTTCTTATCTCTTGAATGTCATATATATATAGATATATATATATAGATATATATATAGATATATATCTATATATATCTATATATATTAGTGCTGTCAAAATTATCGCGTTATTAACGCGTTAACGCGAGGCCATTTTAACGGCGATAATTTTTTTAACGTGAGATTAACGCTATGTGGTTTTATGGTACAATTTTTCCAAGTTCATCCCCCCGCAGCCGCCGCGAAGGCGGGGCTATTTTCCCCCCGTCTATTCATTTCTCA